TTTTTTTTTTTTTTTGTTAAACTGAATTGACTTTTGCATGATAATGAAATTATGATTTGAATTTTGTTTTAATTTTGTGCTGCTTGTGATATTGCAAATTTAATATATTATAGTGTCATTTATCTTATAAATGCTTTAGAAATTTTACAAAACTTAAATACATTTGTTATTCTTAATACGTAATCATACTATTTTAAATTATTTCACTAATTATTATTGTTATGAAATTAGTTAATTTTGAATTTAATTATAATTTTAATATTGTAAAAATCAGCTTAAAATTTTCATCTAATTGTTTTCTTTTCTGAAATGTTTGATATGTGCATGTGGCAATGTATAAAGCTTGACAGTGTTTTTTTTTTTTTTTCTTTTGCTTTGCAGTTGTTAATTTTAAAATCATGCTTGTTAAATTGAAATTAAATGTTTTTGAATACCACAGATGTTGCATTACATTTTAATACAGTAGTTTAATCTAAACTAAAATTATATAAAATATAAAAGTACTATTGTTTAATAATATTGTTGAAATATAGACCAATGAAAATTACTGAAAGCTTAAAAATTTAAATGAAATTATCATCATTGATTTGTTGCAAGGTATCTGGACATATCATTATAATCAATGATATCAATACAGACTAGTATATACAGATATTGAAAAATTATTTGCCATTTTTTATAGAAATGAATGCAGACAGAATTTTTGAGATATTATATAAGTTTTAATTAAATATATTTGTGGAATCTTTAACTTTAGTAGTGTTTTATAAAGAATAATCTAATAATTAAGTTTATATTAAATGTTATATTAAATTAAATTCTGTTTAACTTTTATAAATCTTTTTTGTATGTTCTAGCTTGTTGTTGAATTAGAAGATGAAAAACGTAAACATGCACAAGATACAGCTCAAGGAGATGATGTTACTTATATGCTAGAAAAAGAAAGAGAAAGATTACATCAAGAAGTAGAGTTTGAAAGACAGCAAAATAGAAAATTAGAAAAGGATATCAAACGTTTAAATGAAAGTATTGAAGAAGAACGAAACAGACAGAAACAAATTGTATTATTATTATTAGCAGAAAGAAAACGTCTGATCTTGAGGTTGCTTGAGGAACGACAGAGAAATGAAGAATTAACTGAAGTAAAATTATTATTAGATTTATTTAGTTTATCAAGTTTATTTTTAATAATTATCATATTGAAATATTTTTAAGTCTATAATTTAAATTTATTATTATGTGTTTACATTATTGTATTACTTACAGACCTTTGAAGATATAGTTCACATGATTAAGTGTTTTATAAAAATAATAATAATTTGTTAGTTACTATTAAATAATAAATCATTGGTGAAACTTTGAATAATAAGTCATTCATTTCACTTGATGACATTAAAGTAATAGTTCACCAGTTTATTAAAATTTTAAATAAGACAAATATTGATTTAACAATATATTTTAATAATTTAGAAAGTTCTGGAAGAAAAGAATCAGCCTGAAGTGGGACATGTTGCCAGTTACTATACCTGGACTTCCATCTGATCTTTGATTCCAGAACTATTAATTTAGATATAACCAGTATAACTAGTAGTTTCTATTGTACAAAGTATTTTCAACAAATTAATATTAAAGGAATATGACTATACACATATATCATATTTCCATGATTAAATTCCAGTGGGTTCATTTCTAAATTTATGAATCCCCAGAGCTGATTACATTGTAACAGGAGAAAAGTGGGTAAAAATTGAAAGAAATACTTCAGTTACTTGTACATTTTTAGAACTATCAAAATTGTTTATTAACTCTATTTATGGCTACAGCTACAACATTTGAAATAATTAATGTTTTCATAGTTAACTTGATTCAGTTTCTTCCAGTTCGATTGTTAGAATGCATTGTTGGAATAAGGATCTTTACTACCATCTTCTGCTTCAAACTCACCATCTCCAAATTGAGTTTTCCTAATAAGTTAATAAGCTTTCAACTTAGGAACTTAACCATAATGTTTCCGTGCTCAGTATTTGAAAATATTTATAATTGACAAGACTATGTCTTGTTTATAAAATCGTACTGCCACTCGTTCTTACCAGCATAGAGGTATGAAGGAGTACAAGTCGAGAGTTGATATTTGGCACAGAGTATTAGGTGCTCAAATCATTTGCACATAAAAAAAAATCCAGACTCGTAGGTAGTCGGGACCAAGAATAGAGTCAAAATAAAATACAAAATGGCGACCCTCTTCTACAAACAGGCAAAACAGCCACCTCACCCCAGCGAAGTCAGGTAGGGGAGAGTACCACCCGCAGTCGTTCTAAGAAGTGAACTCTGACCTTAGGACCGAACACGTAGTTTCTTCTATGTTAAATAAAATTTCTAAGCTAATTTTGTAAATTTATGAGTTCTTCAAATATGACGTTAAAACTGTTTTAGGTTGTCGTTACAAGTGGGGTTTTTTTTTTTTAACATTAGTGTAGTAAAATCGTAGGACCGATAAAAATTTGATGTTATATTAGGATTGTCATTACATTCGATGACGTTATAATCGGGTTGAACTGCATATTGTTTGTGCAAAATAAAAAAATAATTTCGGATGATACAATAGCCACGATTATTTTTTTCAAAAACGGGAACTTTTTTGTTACACATCGACAAAAATTCAACCTGGGCTGACATGCAACAGAGAGAAATTTTGAAATTAGATAAGTTAATTTCATCAAAGATGCATCGTGGACGATCTTGTGGTCGTGGCCGGCAAAGTTTGAATGATTGTGCCCAAAAGCAGCGATATCAAAGAAGATAGGAGAATGAGTACGAGACATACCTTGAGCATCAAAGTGATTCCATCTCCGAGACATAGTCTTGTTTCAAATATGGTTTTGCCTTTTACTTGTTTTATTTCAACTCAATAATTTAGAGTTGGACAGCACTTTCTACTTTCTACTTTCAGAAATCCATGAACTTTTGAGTAGAAAGTGCAGTTTGAAGAGGCAAGATTCATAGCAGTTGTGGAAATTTTTGTGGAAATTGCTATATTGTGTTAATTTTACATGCTTTTATTGAAAATAATTGATTAATTGATGCAGTGGATGTGAAAAGTTTCATTTGTAATGTAGGAATTTTCCAAGGCATTAAAATTCATCAAATCAAAGAGTGCATTTGGAAATATGTTTTATCAGAAGCTGAGTACTCACTTTTTGAGCAGATTAAGGCTGATTTACGATATACATCTGACAGAACAGACTACTGACTGTCACCAATGACAGATCAATGAAACAATGTATTGTGAATTTTTAACGGCTGTACTTACATCAATTGTCATTCACAAGAACCATCACCAACAGTTGTTGGCTGCCATCTTGGTCACCATCTTTGGCGAGAAAGTTTTGCCTATCAGTGTCTCTGTTCCTGGTCACAAGTGTCTAGTGGGAGCAGTCAGTTGCCAGTTGTTAAGCACTGTTGCTTTCGGTGTTAATCAATTTTTGTATTTTCAAATATAGGCATAAAGCAGGCCTTTTTCCATATCCATCAAGGATTTGGTCAGGCTCGCAATGGCAGCAGCTGGGTGGTGAATGAGAGGACATACTGCCTATTAAAAATTCTTGGAGATTTGCTCACTCAAATTCAATCCCAGATTTTCAGAGTAGTAGTAGGCTGATGCCTTAACTGTCTCATCTAGCCACCACCAACTTTAAGTTAATAATTACTGCCAACAAAATGGATAGTGACAAATATATAAAGGAAGTTATTGTCAGTCCAGTGACAGCTGGTTTCTTGCCACCAGCCAGATGTATATTGTAAATCAACCTTTAGTTCACTCAAGTCTAGTGCTTATTGAATGCTCAGTGAACATCCATTAAAAATAATTGAGGGTTGTGTGCTATGTATTTTTGATAATATATGCAGTTGTAGATGAGCACATTCACACTTATCCATTTAATATCAATTAAATTTATATATTAAAGTCTAGCATTAATTTTTATCAGTTTATACATTTCAGGTCAGAGTTGGGTTGGTGCATTCTGTTGATTGTCCTAGAGGTGGTATTTTGTTATCTTTGATTCACAGGCGGTCAACTTGTCTCACTATTGACTCTTGCCATTAAAGCCCAATTTATATTACCAAACCATTTGCAGTCCTATCAAATATTTATCTATTGTGTTTTATGTACCAGACAAAGACTTGTGCATTACTTGTAGTGTGAATATGTACAGTACATTGGGCACAATTGACCAAACTGAGCAGCTTGGTAATGTGGATTAGATCGAAAGTTAATAATGATATTTGATTGATATAGTCTTGATTATGCATTGTTAAATTTGACTCTGTGGCATCATCTTTACACTGATTGGTATGAGATGGTGATTTGCTTTTGTCATTGATTGTATAAAAACCACAAAATAAACTGGAATGATACATAAACTCTCACTTAAATGTCAAATTTCCAGCAAAACACCCAAATTCAACATTCGTTAGATAACATTTAACATTTTATCTAACGCAAAGGATGAAACTGATGATGCTAGAGCATCTGGAGTTTATCACATCCCACTACATGATGACAGGTTCAACTGGACACTAACATACATTGGTTCCACATACAGATCGTTACAAGCCCAGTTACGATATCACAGGTATGATGTGGCAAAAGGAAACATCAGTACGGTCCTGGCCCAGTATGCCCAAAGAGGCAACCCTAATACATAAGATTTTCGACAGACAACATATAAGAACATTAGATGCCTCAGAAATCTACAGGACTGACATAGGAGGAACATGCATCAACACAGATTACATTCCCATACCAAATGCATGGAAGTATTATTTACACTCTTAAAGGAAATTATACATTGCCTAATATATATCACAGCCAATGTTCAAATTGATTTTAAAAAAGTTACTTAAAAAATTATGTGTACAATGCGCAACATTCTATAAATAGAACAGTTATTTTTGTTTGACTTTTTCTGATGAAGGCTGATTAATGAATGGCCAAAAATGTTCGAATGTTGATTTTGAGTGTTTTGCTGGAAATTTGACATTTAGGTGAGTCATTGACCATACAAAGAACATTATATTATTGCTGTATTATGAATTTAATTTTTCTGTAAATACAGAACAAGCTCTGAATCTAACAATATTAGGACACTGGAGATTTTTGATGATAACATGGAAAATTCATGGAAATTTACAATGACAAACTTCAGTGAATCTGAGAAGTGAAATTTTAGTTAAATTTCTTACCTAGCTATTACTAAACTACATTATTTTATACTTTGCATTACTTCAAAATGCTTTCCATGCTTTTTGATTCCAGGATTTATTTGAGTCTGAAATTTATTTTTAACAAATCCATTCCTCAGGGTTTAATTCAGGAAGTACAGTACATGTGTGTGCACATATGTGCCTAACTCTCTACCTATAGACAAATTGATTTGATTCTGATTATTAAGTAGTTTTAAAATATAGCATGATAAAATCCAGTAGATTATTTGGCAATATATATTATATAGGTGACTTTCAGTGACTAGAGGTGTTTTTTGAGTTTCCAGTTTCAAGGAACCAATCACACACACACACACAAAAAGCAGGCTTTTCTCATGCTACCTACAATTTTTTTCAAAAATCAAATATTTACAAAAAATACTAATAATTATGTTATCTACAACTGTATCACATACAGTATATATTATATATGTACAGTACTTATAAAATGTATTATTGAAAGAATAAGTTTTGATTTTTAAAATTATAGCTTATTTATTTACTGCTAAATATATATATTAATAAATTGAAGTTAGGAGTAAGAAGTTAGTTATTATATGGATGACCATTGTGAATTAGTATTTGATATCTACTGTAATAAATAAGAAATTAGAATTCTGTGTATTTTTCATGATTGTTAAAATTCTATTTTAATGTATTTTTTTTTATTTTTAAATAGTTAAACAAAGATTAAAATCAATCATTAACAAATTTTAACAATCAAATTCGAAATTATTTATTAAATTTTCATTTTCTAATTTAGAAACTTAATAATTTTAAATACAATTAAAAGTAATTAATTTTCATCTTATTTATTACAATATAATTTAAATCTTTAGCTCCTTAGTGATGAAAAAGGAAGAATAGCAGATATGGTAGAAGGTTTAGAGGAGGAAAGTAAAAAATCTCTTCAAATGGAAGCTGAAATGGAACGACAGCTGATTGAATTTGATTCAGAAAGAGAACACTATAAAGATCAAGTTACAACAGCTGAAATGAAAAATCAAGAACTTACATTTGAAATAGAAAAATTACAAGAAGAAATGGAAATTTTACGCAAACAAATGCAAGGATTTGGTGAAAGGACAGTTGTTAGTAGCTCTCCGATGCATCTTGGAGAAGGAGTAAGAAGTACTGTTGTCACAATGGTTTCTACTCCTCCGGCAATTAGAGTTATTCCAACAGTATCTCCTGCGGTTAGTCCACCTCGGGGAGTTGCAAGAGCAGTTAGCCCTAAGATTGGTCCAGCTCCTGCTACACCTATGAAACCTCCAGGTCTCGTTCCACAAATTCCAATGAAAGCAGCTACTCCAATAAATTCTCCACCGAAACCATTAATTAATGCTCCAGTATCGGCGACTGTTGTTTCAACTGCTTCCGGACAAAATGTAACAACATTAACATCCCCACAAAATCCTGCACTTAAAGGGGCTGCTAAAAAATCATCTCCAGTACTTCCACCAAGATCTGTTTCACCTGTATCTTCTGATGTATCTGCTGAAAATATCCAACCATCTAGTACTACAAATATAGTACAAAACTTAGTTTATGCTGTTGCTGCATCAGAACAGCAAGCAGTTGCGAACGATAGTAATCAGGCCGGACCTCGTCCTGCAGGAACTAAAATATTCACTACTAGCCAAGGAGGCAAAGTTATGGTTCATCTTTCTGGAAGTGCACCTATTTTGGCTACTAAAAAAACTCCTCCAATTGGACGAGGTACGCCACCACCCATACCACCTAACAAACCAGTATTAACATCTCAGTTGAAAAAGGATGCAAAACCTCCAGTGCCACCTCGAAACGATAATGCTTCTGAATCTTCATTAGAACAAAAGATTCAGAAACCTCTTGTTTCAGGTACACGTTTTGGTGTTGCTATTACAAAAGTTGCTACTCCCGAAGTAACAAGTGGAATTGCACAAATACCAGGGACTCCAGTATCGACTGACGAAGATCATAAGACAGGCACCCAGGTGGGTGAAAATGCCGACATTAGATATTTCAATGAAACTAAAACAAAAACATGCATTAAGAATGTATCTAATGCTGAAAATTTTGTTGGTGTTGATGTGTTTGGACAAGAATTAGTTGATTTTCAGGAACTTCTAGTATCTATGGTATCAATTAAGTCTGATGATGGCCAGTGTAATATACAAGAGGAAACATGACTTAAATTATTTTTGTTTTGAATTATAATTTTTATGTATAAAGTTTTTTTTACATATATGAATGCATGACAGCTATTTTAAAATACTCCGTTCAGACAACAATAATTTTTATCAATAGCATGTTTGAAGTATATTTGATATAAGAAAAAGTGTGTAATTTCTGTTTATTTTTTTTTTTTTTTTTTTTTTTTTTTTTTTTTTTTTTTTTTTTTTTTTTTTTGTTAAACTGAATTGACTTTTGCATGATAATGAAATTATGATTTGAATTTTGTTTTAATTTTGTGCTGCTTGTGATATTGCAAATTTAATATATTATAGTGTCATTTATCTTATAAATGCTTTAGAAATTTTACAAAACTTAAATACATTTGTTATTCTTAATACGTAATCATACTATTTTAAATTATTTCACTAATTATTATTGTTATGAAATTAGTTAATTTTGAATTTAATTATAATTTTAATATTGTAAAAATCAGCTTAAAATTTTCATCTAATTGTTTTCTTTTCTGAAATGTTTGATATGTGCATGTGGCAATGTATAAAGCTTGACAGTGTTTTTTTTTTTTTTTCTTTTGCTTTGCAGTTGTTAATTTTAAAATCATGCTTGTTAAATTGAAATTAAATGTTTTTGAATACCACAGATGTTGCATTACATTTTAATACAGTAGTTTAATCTAAACTAAAATTATATAAAATATAAAAGTACTATTGTTTAATAATATTGTTGAAATATAGACCAATGAAAATTACTGAAAGCTTAAAAATTTAAATGAAATTATCATCATTGATTTGTTGCAAGGTATCTGGACATATCATTATAATCAATGATATCAATACAGACTAGTATATACAGATATTGAAAAATTATTTGCCATTTTTTATAGAAATGAATGCAGACAGAATTTTTGAGATATTATATAAGTTTTAATTAAATATACAAATAAGGTTGTGCATCAATGCTAATATAAGAGACACACTAAATATCTGTTTATGATATGATTATGAATTAATTGTTATCAGAGCCATCAAGAGCTTGTATGGGGCCGGGGGTAAAGCAGGCTCTTTTGCATTAATACTGTTAGACTGAAGTTAAAGATTAGTACATTTTTACTATACATTTAAAAGTTAATGAAATGATACCACTGTTCACTGTTTATTACTATAAAATACTTATTGAAAACCATTACAAATCCTTCAGGGTATTCAAAATAGAATGTATTTCCATGCATTTACAGTTCATCTGGCAAATATTTTTAGGAATAAGTAGTTCCAAATATCAGAAGTCATATAATAATCTTGTGTGTTTGTATACATTAATAAATGAATAACTTGTGGGCACATTAAGTTTTATGCTAGAAGTAATATCAAATTTTGATTCTCAATTGCTTTTATTTGATTGATTTTGAATTTTCTGTTAACCTTTCACAAAAAATTCAAATCAAAAGATATTTTATAGGGTGTCTGAAAATTATCTGTATAACTTTATCCTTTAACAAAATTTACAATGGCACATTTAGAATTATTAAACAAGAATTTTTAGCATCTATATTTTCCAAAGTAGCAATGTTAGACATTCAATATATGCACCATTAAATTAATGATTTGCAAAATGTCCAGTCAATACTCCAAATGCTGCCAAACACTTCTTTGTCAGACTTGTGTGTGATTTGGTTTTGATAAACCATTCAACACACTGTGCTTTCTCCTCTGCATTTATTTTGGATAAGTGCATATGAATTTCTGAAAAAAAAAAAAGAAACTTGTCAAAACTTAATACAATCAAATTTGGTTAAGTTTCTCTGTAAAATTCCACATGAATTGTTACACTTGATTGTTCATTATAACAGACGAAAGTTGTACAAATAATTTTTGGACATCCTATAGATTTCATTGGTAATTTGGATTTCAATTTTTGAATTTTTATTTCTTTCATAATGGCAAATAATTTTTCTACAAGTTTAGAACAATGGTGCCCAAACTTTTCAATTGGTGGGTCAAATTGCACATAAAATATAAGTAAATGAGCCTGAAATATTTTGTATATTCCATATACAGTGTACAAAAAAGTATCCCCGAATAATATGTCAAATACATTTGAGAGTCAGATTTAGCCCAAGGGCTAATGTTTGGGTATTATTGGCTTAGAATACTGAAAACATTATTATATATGGTAATTATTAATGTTTATTATTTAATGTTTTTTACATTGCACAAAATCAATGCAATATAGTATTTTTCATATGATATTAAATATATTCATAGTTATTTTAGTTTTTCAAAAAATATAGATTCACCTTCTTAGAGTTAACATAAATTCTTTGTTATGTACTCCAAATAAAAATACACATTTTTTTATTAATTTAAATTTTTAAAAGTCAGTTTTATAAAAATATATTAAACAGTTAAAGAACCATGTGAATTATTTACATGATCATATAATCACTTTTTTAATATTTAACTATTTTTCAAGTTGTTATTGGAAGTATCACTAACAATTAGAAAATATTTGTTTTTAATTTCTTTGATTCATGTTTTTCAACACTTTTTAATAATGAAAGAGAATATTTCAAAAGAAAAAAATTTTCAAGGAAATTGTAGTGACAAAGATCAGACTAGTTTATTTCCTGTTATTTATCTTGTCATCAGATGATGATTAATATAATTTATATTTAATTTTAAAAGAATTTCCAAAGAAAATTTATATAATAAAATAATTCCTGAAATACATATTTTTATAGATAATAAATTTTTATTTTATATGTAAAAGAAATGCTTATTTTAATCATATTTTATACATGACTGAATGATTAATTATATGATATTTTAATTAAATCAATTTAATTTACACAGACTATTCAGTTTTCTCATTTTATAGTTTTATAATTCAACATTTTATCAGTTAAGATGAAAGAAAATTGAGAACTGATTATGTTAAAAATTTTTTATTATATATTTTTTAGTTTTATAACTAATTATAAGTTTTATTTTATAATAATTTAAATTATAAAGTATATATATATTGATTTTTGAATAAGTGAAATTTTAATATAGTACATTAGTTAGAAAGCCTAATATTACGTAACCTAATGATTCAAATGTTACAAAAACCATATTTTTCATGTAACAATTTTAATTATATTCTAATTAAAGAAATTAATTATATAGTAGGAAAGATTATTCAATTCAGATAATGCCTCACTATATAATATATTAATTTTTTTTATATTGATGAAAAATTTAAATGTTACAAATTGAGAAAGGAATTTGATGAATGGCAGTGACATATTTTTGTAAATCTCGTCAAGATTAGGAAGTCGACTAGTGGTATCAAACAGTAATAGTAAGCTTTCTTTTATCAATAACTTTCCAATACTGGGTTATATTAATTTAAACAGACAAAACATCTACATCAGCATACCTCAAATTAACACATTTACTAACATTTTCATCCATTTATACCTGAAGATGTCTGTTATAAACAGATGAAAATGTTAGTAAAAATATGTTACTTTGAGTTATTCTGGTATAGGTGTTTTGTCTGTGTTTAAAACTTTCTTTTATAATATATATTAAATATATTTGTTAGATGGCAAAACTTAATAGCAAAATAATTTTATAAAATCATAAAAATATACTACGTGTTATGAAAATACATTGTTTTTACAATGCATTTATAATGAAATATTGAAGGTATGATATATTTAACAAATATTTATTAATTTAATTATTGAATATAAGTTTATATTCAATAAATAAATTATTTTATAATGTGTAAATTAATAATTTGTTATTATTGTACAGTTGTTCAAACTAATTCAAAAAAAGTCACATGATATCAGTTTGGATATTATTTAAATCTTATTTTAAACATCAATGGTTTGAGTTAATTTTTATTATTAAAAAAAAAGAGAGAGAGAGAAATAGCTCAAAATTTATATTGATTAAAATTTTCATATATGCACATCTACTATATTTATCAAACTATTTGAAATATGAAATCAGATTAATTATTCAAATTCAAAATTTATTAATCTATATTTTTTTATAATTATTATAAATTTGATTATGTGTGTATATATATTTCATTTCAGTTTTAAAATAGTTTCAGTTTAGATGAAACTGAATCCTGAATTAATTCTATTTGTTTTTATTCCAATGTTTCTTAATTTATGTTTACTTAAATTAGTATTATAATATAAATAATAATTTTTTTGTAAGCTCTCCTCTCATGTTTAGAAGGAAAGCTACATCTTATCTAAATATGGATCAAAATTATGAATTCAAACTTTGTGCAATAAAACAGTTCTCAAGTAATACAAATTGAAGCAAATATTTGAATTTCTGATTATATGATGGACATGTCATTAGCATCTAAATCATTTAGAAAATGATAGACATTATTATTATATAATCGTTAAAATAACACATATAATACATTTACATTAGTTTTTTCCATATATTTAGATGATAAATTAGTAATGATTTAAGCAGTATCAGTTACAATTTTGTTGCAATCCCTTCCTTATTTTTTAAAATATTCAAAGGGGAGAAATAAAAAAAGTAAACTAAAAAAAACAGATTTAATAATTAGAGCATAGGTGTGAATTTAAGCAAATAATAATAATGGTTAAATTTGAAAAAAGTAACTTATATTAATTTACTTTTTATATATATTAACTATAAACAGAAAATCTAATTAAAACTAAAATAACCCAAACCTAACCTAAATAATGCTTCAAAATCTAAGTAGTAGTAAAAAGCTAATAGAAGTAAAAAAATTAACGAGCAATGTTAATAATTAACAATATAAATATTAAAAAGAAAGAATCAAAAAGGAAGCAAGCAAATGGCAAGAATTTGCAAATAAATCTATCCATAGTGACAAAGTCTATAGTTGATTACATGTCAAAAGAAAATATGATTAAATGCTCTCAAAAAAGAGTAGATTCATCATAGCAATTTTTCAATTAAATTGCAATCAAACAATAAATAATGTATTTCTAAAACTCAGATAATACAAAATGGTTTCTAGCTGGGATGAAATTAATTCTAATTCCAACAGGCAGAGAACTTACACCAAAGTCAAATATTATTTCCACAGATGACATGGGAGCTTTTAAAAGATAAAATATGATATTTCATAAAATATAAGCCATTTTTTAAGGTTTTGAATTTTCTCAACAACAGTCAACATCCTGTTTTGACTGTAGTTAGGTTTACATTTTAACCTTGTTTTTTTCCCTTATGAATCTCATTAATTTTGAAAAGAAACAAACTTTTATTTTTACCTTTTTTTCATAGTATTAGAACAACTGAGAAAAATAAACTGCTTTTTTAACAGTTTGTTTACTTTAAAAATCAAATGATCATGGAACAGTAGATCATCTTGAATTTCAAGAAAATAAAAATTGGAAAACATCAAGAACTAGAACATTTCATGGTATTTTTTTGAATAAAATTTAAAATTTTAACTGTGAAATATCGATTATGTTTTAATTATTGAGTTTTTCTTATTTAAGAAAACTTTGAGAATGAATAATAACCCCAAAGTATTGATTTTTTTAAAATAAACAGACTAAAAAACAGTTTTTTACTAGTGAATTGTTTCCTATAAAACCATTAGACTTGTGAAACTGTATTAAAAATATTGCAAACTTTGTGTTAAAAATTATCACGAACTTTACAAGCTTAATAAAACCAAATTTTATTTTATTTTAAATATTATTGGATAATTACAGAGATATTATTTTTAATTAAAATATAAAGATAATATATTCAGAAACTAAATTATTTGCTTTTTCGATTATATGCCTATCATAATATTCAATAATAATTGTTGTATAATTTATTTTTTTTTCTTTATATTTTTGAAATCTTTTTCACTACTGTGAGCAATTTCCTGTTTTTCAATAAAATAGTTCAATAATGAGAAGTCAAATGCAATTTAAAATGCATGTAATTAATTTTATAATTATTTAAAACAGGATAGATAAAGCACCATTCTTTAGAGATGGTGGTATCTATTTTATATACACTAGATGATTGTAATTAAAGTACTCCTGTTTGGATTCAATCAGATATGGTATAGTGATATTTGAGAATGTGTAGAAGACATTTCCTTAAAAAAAACTTTAGTACCAAAATTTACCACTAAGACACTTGGTACTGCAAACAACAAACATTTTATTTGTACAAAACACTCAAGCTATACAGCAGGGGTGTCCAACCTTTTTGTTCCTCTGGGCCACATTGGAAGAAGTCATGGAGTTTGGGCCACAAGTATATATAATATATTTGTGACCCAATCCTTAAATATACAAGTATATTTAAGGATTCATAAAGGAAACATATCTAGATTATAGTAATAAGTATTAAAACTTTATCACGAGAAAGGATATTTTAAAAAATTTCTTCTACGGACACTTTCAATTTTTACTTAGAAATAGATAAATGCATTTATTATAAAGGAGACAAACAAAAATTTATTTGAAAAACACAAATATTTGTTTTATTTGGGTCTCTAATTAATAAAAAAAGACAAAACACCATTTTAAAGTGCATTTTTATTCGTCTAATATATTTATAAATAATATGTAGCCCAAAAAGTAGCCAATGCATCAAATGATATTTTTTATGCCAAACTAAAAACAGGGTAGCCAACTTTGGCGCAAGGTAGCCAAATCATGCAATGCTGAAAGGAATATTAAATAAACTGGAGTTAGGACTCAAAGGATTATAGACACAAATGCGGGGAAAGGAGAGAAAGGACAAAAGATAAAGAAGTGAGGAAGGTTGGAAAATTAAGGGTCCCTATTTGCATGACAGAAAGTCTATTTAATCTTTCTTACTATTTTTTTATCTTTTGGCCTTTCTCTCCTTTCTCCCCCAAATTTGAGTCTATAATTCTTCCCCAAATTTGAGTCTATAATTCTCCCCCAAATTTGAGTCTCAACTTCAGCTTTATTTAGTATTCTTTCCTCATTTAAATACAGTAGAGCATTGATTATCCGACTCAATTGGGTACTCAGGTTGGTCGGATAACTGAAAAATCGGATAACCGAAAAGAATGAAAAAAATACATTATTAGTATAGTATATTAGTATATCCCATGTAATTAGTATATTAGTATATCGCTATTAACCAACTTTGTGTTGAATTTTCATCGATGTTAAGCCTAACAANTATATACAACCCGGTGTGGTAAGAAAGCACATTAATTAAAAATACTTTATTATTAAAGTAAATTATACATAATTATTTTTAATTGTTTCTAACAGTAGCTTAATTACTTTTCTAAATTTAATTAAATCTGTATTTTTAAACTGGTATTTAACATTAAATCTTAGCGATAATAGATAATGTACATTTATAAATATTACTATTAAAATAGTTTTAAGAATTGTTATTTCATATCAAATAAATATTTTAATGTTATAAATACTCACTCAAAAATACAAAATTGTTTGACTTTATTTAGGTTACCGGACCAAGGTGATACAGCGATATTTGTTGGATATTCTATTTTGCTCTTCAAGATATTTAAAAGAGCCTTACAGAAAATTCTTGACCAGAAAATGCCAGCTTATCATAATTTTACCTGAAAATATCTTTAACATTTTTGTAGTCTTTAGTGTCTATGAAAATCATTTTCCCAAAATAGACTCCTTTAATTGCCATGTAAAAATTTGTTAACGTCTTAAATGATAGATGTTATTTGTTTGTATTGAACGTGCATGGTGTACTGGATAACATACAATATAAATTCTGTATTCAGAAAATATACACACAGTTGTATACACCACTTTAAGCTCATATATATATATATAATATATATATTTGGAATAATAATCCAAGCAATGCAATAAATAGAAATGTGCAAATATTCTTTTTTAATAAGAGATTGAATTCATACAAACTTTTATATGTTGCATTTATTTAATTTTTAATATTATTGCATATAGAATAATAAATGTCACTTTTGTTTCAGATAAAATTTTATGAATCTGTAACTTCAAATATTGCCAAACAATAAAAAACATCATAAACAAAAAATGGTAATATAAAAATATTGAAGGTATAAATTATTCGTTGTATAAAATACGTGATTTTACACGATTAATGCTTTTATCAGATGTGCATCAGAATTATGAATAGTGAACAACATTTTAAATAACAATTCTACTCACAAGTCCTTGTCATTTAGTAATGAGTGACTCATATTGGTGCTGAGAAAGATTCAAATACAAAACTTTGTAAGAATAAACAGTGTTGTTTTATAAAGTGACGAAAATAAGTAATTAATGAGACTGGTAAAGGATGTTTTGTTTTACAAACAATGAAAGCCTCTGGCTCTGTTACTTTTTTCTAATTTGATAATACAAATGAAGTCTCAAACTATGTCTTAATATTTTTAAGATATATACATTGTAATTTTTTATAATTGGTTTTCTTATTGATTTTAAATGAATTATATTGGAATGCTTTTTTTTTATAATTGAATTAGTATATTCATACTTATTAGAGCATATAGGTTTATTCAAAAATAAGTTTATTTAATATCTAGAAATACAAAAGAATATAGTTTGTAATTTCCATTTATTAATATAAATTTAATTCTNCGTTTTTTCAAAAACATTCGAATTAAAGAATCCGGTTATAACGAAAGCTATAAAGAAGTAAGCCTGAAGAAGATCCCAGGAGGGGAATCGAAAACGTTCGCCGATTTTAAAGAATTTCGCACCGGTTAATGGTTAATTGTAGGTAGTTGTTGGTTTGGAGTATATACAACCCGGTGTGGTAAGAAAGCACATTAATTAAAAATACTTTATTATTAAAGTAAATTATACATAATTATTTTTAATTGTTTCTAACAGTAGCTTAATTACTTTTCTAAATTTAATTAAATCTGTATTTTTAAACTGGTATTTAACATTAAATCTTAGCGATAATAGATAATGTACATTTATAAATATTACTATTAAAATAGTTTTAAGAATTGTTATTTCATATCAAATAAATATTTTAATGTTATAAAAACTCACTCAAAAATACAAAATTGTTTGACTTTATTTAGGTTACCGGACCAAGGTGATACAGCGATATTTGTTGGATATTCTATTTTGCTCTTCAAGATATTTAAAAGAGCCTTACAGAAAATTCTTGACCAGAAAATGCCAGCTTATCATAATTTTACCTGAAAATATCTTTAACATTTTTGTAGTCTTTAGTGTCTATGAAAATCATTTTCCCAAAATAGACTCCTTTAATTGCCATGTAAAAATTTGTTAACGTCTTAAATGATAGATGTTATTTGTTTGTATTGAACGTGCATGGTGTACTGGATAACATACAATATAAATTCTGTATTCAGAAAATATACACACAGTTGTATACACCACTTTAAGCTCATATATATATATAATATATATATTTGGAATAATAATCCAAGCAATGCAATAAATAGAAATGTGCAAATATTCTTTTTTAATAAGAGATTGAATTCATACAAACTTTTATATGTTGCATTTATTTAATTTTTAATATTATTGCATATAGAATAATAAATGTCACTTTTGTTTCAGATAAAATTTTATGAATCTGTAACTTCAAATATTGCCAAACAATAAAAAACATCATAAACAAAAAATGGTAATATAAAAATATTGAAGGTATAAATTATTCGTTGTATAAAATACGTGATTTTACACGATTAATGCTTTTATCAGATGTGCATCAGAATTATGAATAGTGAACAACATTTTAAATAACAATTCTACTCACAAGTCCTTGTCATTTAGTAATGAGTGACTCATATTGGTGCTGAGAAAGATTCAAATACAAAACTTTGTAAGAATAAACAGTGTTGTTTTATAAAGTGACGAAAATAAGTAATTAATGAGACTGGTAAAGGATGTTTTGTTTTACAAACAATGAAAGCCTCTGGCTCTGTTACTTTTTTCTAATTTGATAATACAAATGAAGTCTCAAACTATGTCTTAATATTTTTAAGATATATACATTGTAATTTTTTATAATTGGTTTTCTTATTGATTTTAAATGAATTATATTGGAATGCTTTTTTTTTATAATTGAATTAGTATATTCATACTTATTAGAGCATATAGGTTTATTCAAAAATAAGTTTATTTAATATCTAGAAATACAAAAGAATATAGTTTGTAATTTCCATTTATTAATATAAATTTAATTCTAGATGTACAATTGGAAATGAAACTAAAGAGATGATGTAGAATATCTCCTACATGTACTAAAAGTTTGACAGATTAGAAAACAATTATGAAAAAGAGGATTGCTAAATATCAGTCAGAATTTATTTATAAAATATAGATTAATTTATTCATTCAAATATTCCCAAAAGATATTAAACTTCTTATTTAGAATAAAACTTTCATAAACTTCTTAAAGATATTTGTTTGAAAAGAATTTAAAAAAAAAAAAAAACTCTTCATATATTATGATGTGTATACATTGTGTTTGATACATTGTTGAAAAAATCTCAGAAAGAAAAGATCAAAAACTTCAAAACTTGTCGAAATAAGAAATTTAATTTTTATAGAATATAAATAAAATCACAAATTACTTTCCTGCAAATAATTTTGCTTTTTCTGTAGCTCTAAACTCTTCTGCTTATTGGACTTTTAAAAATATATAGTTTTACTTAGAAGACTCTGCAGAAGGATGGATAGGCTTGAAAACATTTGGTTCTATAAGTAAAATCTATTTATTTTTAAGACTCCAATAAGCAGAAAAGAAGTTTATTAATCTATAAAGTTAATGAGTTTTCTTTGTCACAATTTCTTTAATTTGTGACTGACTACACTTATTGAAGTTTAAATTCTTTGGATGATGATCTTAAAGATTAAAATCAAAATTATAATAAATATAATTTTTAGATGTCTTGTTAAATATACTGTTTTTCTATCTTAATTGATATGAAAATGAATGTATTTGTTTATTTCACTTGATATGAAGGTTTTATTGATATCTCATTTCTTGTGTTTTAAAATAATGAAGATAGAAAGATAGGAATTCAATTTTATTTCCTTCATTTTCAAAACAACAATTATATTTTTAAAAACAAAATAATCATTGAAAGATTATCTACTTATAATGTGAATTCAAATAATAAAATCATAGAACAAGAGTTTTTAAATTACATAGTGAAAATATTTGAATTTTTTGTTTGTCTCCATTATTTTCAGTTTTCTAAAACATGTATTTGCGAGTCTTCTCACAAAATTAACAGAGGACCTACAGTTCCACAGATGTTGAGGGTATTGCTAATAAGTATCTAGAATACTTTTATGATGCAAGATCCCTGCACTGCTGCAGAATATAATAGTTCTACAGGAGAGTATTTTACTATGTATAATGACAAAAGTATATGAGTATTTTGTAACTGTATTGGTTATTAATTTTCTTCATCAAATAAATAATATCCAGAATGCAAATTTTGATATATATATATATATATAAATCACATATCTATCTGAAGAAAGGAATTGTAACTTTGAAAGAAAATAATAACTTGCTGATTGAGGCTTCATATCTCACAGGCCGGACAGATTTTTCTGATTTTAGGTAGAAAAATCATTTTATTTACTAAATTTTATATTTTGGATTTATGATTTATTTGTTTCTTAACAAAATATCATACAAATATAATATATATATACACCATAATTTTATCTTTATTTTCCAAATAACTTTTATAAGAGATTAGCATATCTATTACTAAAGTATAACTGATTAGCTTTAGTAATTTTAAATTATTAATGTATTATATTTTAAGGCTTGCATTGCATAAAATCAGTTTTATTTATATTGAAATTTTTTTCTTTTTTACAAAGTCATTGCCAAGTGTTGACATATTGCTATACAGGAATATTATTACCAGTATATTTTGGAAATGGACAATAATTTTATTAAATAATGTGTTTTGTACATTTTTATTAATGGAGGTTTGTAGTTTTGTTGCATCAGTTTACATCAAACTTTCTTATTCAATTTAAATTGGAATAGTATTCATTGGATTCACTGTATATTGATGAATTAGCTGACTTAATTTTCAACCATGCACACTTTTGTTGTTTAAAATATATATCAGTCAATCTAAGCGATTTGACTATAACTGATTTATTTCACCATATCATTTTTATAATGTACTATGTTTATAGTTTCATTGAATATTCATATTCTTTTATATAATACTTTAAGAGTTTTATCTAATTTTACTTAAAAGTATCCTTATTTTGTCACTGAGGTGTTTGTACTTAAATTACTTAATCATATTTTAATTTAATATTTTTTAATGCAATAGAATATACTTAATTCTAGTTTCTTTCATTTCAAGTAAATTTTAACTACCTCTCCAAAAATAATAATTATTGTAACTAACTGCCTGTAGAGAAAAAAAGTAAATTTCTTGATAAAAGATTTTATAAATAATTACAATGAAAAATAAATTGAACAATCCAGTCACATTAATTACTTGACATCTATCATATAAATCCTTTAAAAAAAAATGTAGATGATCTATATTTAAAATAGATCAATTTGGCAATTCTGCTATAGTTTTATGCATGTTTAATGAATGTTCACATACTTGTATACACATCATTTAGGAAAAAATATACAATTAGATAAATGAATTGTAAGTATATTTAATATGTTTTATAATTTTGTCAGTGATAGAATGCAAAAATAGCATTAAAATCAGAAAATTTAATTTTTGACAAAAATATTATTTTTGAACTTCTAAAAATCAATAGTAGTATTTATTATTTTGTAATAGAATCAATGTAGAAATAAATTATGTTATATAAAATGAATTGGATCAGTGAAATCCATTTTTACAGTATTATTTATATATTCATCTAGTCAATTTTACTTAACCT